AACCAAAGAAAGTCCACTTACTTTACCTTAAGGCGAGCTCTAGTAATATGCAGCATCCAGATTTCACACAGCCCCTTCCCTCACATTGAACTTCTAATGCTGGCTATATACGAGTTGTATTTTTATTGATCAGCCAGAGGGCTGATTAAAAAATGAAAAATGGACTCCTCCATCCACACAAGCAAAATGGAAGGAGGAATCCTCTCCACTGTACCATTGTATTCATACAGAGTGGACTTTCTGCTGTCAACATACACTGATCAATGGCTGCAGCTGCTGATTGAGAAACATTTTTCAACAAGCCCATTTGACAGAAGTGAATTGTTAAATCAACTTCTGTCAAATGGGAGCAGCCACACAATCCAAATTTGCCCGTTCTCTGCAGAATCTGATGAATTTCAATCCATCTATGGCCAGCTTAAAGCAGGTTTGAATGTCTTAGTGTTGGCGTTTATCTCAGGCTTTCTGAATGTGAGAGATAGCAAGGCACCTGCAGTGGGTGTCTTTGGGAACTTATCTACTGTGTAGCAGACAGGGATTCTCAAATCACTACAGCCGTGGCCAAAAGTTTTGAGAATGACACAAATATTAATTTTCACAATGTCTTCTGACTCAGTTTTTATGATGGCAATTTGCATATACTCCAGAATGTTATGAAGAGTGATCAGATGAACTGCAATTAATTGCAAAGTCCCTCTTTGCCATGAAAATTAACTTAATCCCCAAAACAAAAACTTTTTACTGCATTTCAGCACTGCTACAAAAGGACCTGCTGACATCATGTAAATGATGCTCTCATTAACGCAGTTGTCAGTGTTGCGGAGGATAAGGCTGGAGATCACTCTGTCATGCTGATTGAGTTAGAATAACAGACTGGAAGCTTTAAAAGGAGGGTGGTGCTTGAAATCATTTGTTCTTTTTCTGTTAACCATGGTTACCTGTAAGGAAACACATGCAGTCATCATTGCTTTGCACAAAAAGGGATTCACCGGCAAGGATATTGCGGCTACTATGATTGCACCTAAATCAACCATTTATCGGATAATCAAGAACTTCAAGGAGAGAGGTTCAGTTGTTGTGAAGAAGGCTTCAAAGCGTCCAAGAAAATCCCGCAAGTGCCAGGACCATCTCCTAAAGTTGATTCAGCTGCAGGATTAGGGCACCACCAGTGCAGAGCTTGCTCAGGAATGGCAGCAGACCGGTGCGGGTGCATTTGCGCACACAGTGAGGCGAAGACTTTTGGAGGATGGCCTGGTGTCAAGAAGGGCAGCAAAGTAGCCACTTCTGTCCAGCAAAAACATCAGGGACAGACTGATATTCTGCAAAAGGTACAGGGATTGGACTGCAGAGGACTGGGGTAAAGTCATTTTCTCTGATGAATCCCCTTTCTGATGCTTGAGGCATCCGGAAAAAAACCTTGCCCGGAGAAGAAACGGTGAGCGCTACAATCAGTCCTGTGTCATGCCAACAGTAAAGCATCCTGAGACCATTCATGTGTGGGTTGCTTCTTAGCCAAGTTTTCTTAGGAACACCATCAGCCATGAATAAAGAATGGTACAAAAACATCCTCTGAAAGCAACTTCTCCTAACCATCCAAGAACAGTTTGGTGATGATCAATGCCTTTTCCAGCATGATGGCATACCCTACCATAAGGTAAAAGTGATAACTAAGTGGCTTGGGGAACAAAACATTGAACTTTTTGGTCCATGGCCAGGAAACTCCCCAGACCTTAATCCCGATCTTGTGGTCAATCCTCAATAGGCAGGTGAACAAAAAAAAAAAAAAAAACTCCAAGCAATGATTATGCAAGAATGGGCTGCTATCAGTCAGGATGTGACCCATAAGTTGAATGACAGCATGCCAGGGAGAATGGCAGAGGTCTTGAAAAAGAAGGGCCAACCCTGCAAATATTGACTCTTTGTTTAAACTTAATGTAATTGCCAATAAAAGCCTTTGGCACTTATGAAATGCTTGTAATTGTTCTTCGGTATACCATAGTAACATCTGACAAAAAGATCTAAAAACACTAAAGCAGCAGACTTTGTGAAAATATTTGTGTCATTCTCAAATCTTTTGGCCATGGCTATAGAATACTCAGAGAAGGCCCCTTGTGTCATTCTCACACTATGACAATATCTGGATAAATAATATTTTAATTTAATGTTTAACAACCGCTCTATACATAACTGAAATCGCACCGTCCTCTGGACAGTTGTGACGTCACAAGTCCTTCCTATTCTCCTCTGATGTCAGTGGTAGGTTGTCCTTACCTCTGGGTGAAGCAGTGCTCACACAATCGGGTACGAGTTCCATTTTAAGTAGTTCCCTAAGCCAGTTTTTCTCAACCTGTTTTCAGACAAGGCACCTTTTAAAGTTATGAATAATCTTGAGGCACCCTTTAAACTTATGGACAGTCTCAAGACACTCCATTCTAAAATGTAAAAAAATATTCTAATAGTTTTACCTAATGCAGCAACACCCACACATGAATGAAACACATAAATGAAACAAATGTGGTATACTATTTCCTCATAAAATAAAACCATACATTTTGAGAACATAAAGTGACAGTCCAAATAAATGTGTAACAGAATTATGATAATGAACGTCCAATCCAGTATATATTGTGTTAACATCCAGCAATAATCAACATCATGCTTGAATTGTGGCCCCACTCCCTGCTCACCTTGACCTTTGACCTATAAGTTATAATAGACTAAAAACGCTTTATAAGGAAAATGTATCTCCAAGTTTCTGATCCGTGACTTTTCCTTCCACGTATTATGCCTCTTTAAACTCCAGATCCGTGCAAAATAAAACAAGAACATACCATAGTGCAACACCGTTTTGTATGTTACAAATTAAGGTGAACAATAATATGTATTACTCCACCATGCTGACTATATTGTGGTGTTTCCCATCACCAGGTAGGTGCACCATGCACTCACCTTCTTCCCTGACCTAACAGGTCATACACGCTTAGGGATGATACCAGATTCTGCTTATCCGCTGCCAGTCCTTAGTAGCTACTTCATTCGTTCTGGCCCTTTAAGGGAACATACTCTCGGATATCCAGTGGGATTAAGGTGTATATGATCAAAGATAAAAGGAATAGATCATAGTGCAACCCCATAAAATGTAAACACTTTTATTCAAGTAAAAAAATGCACTCACAAAGTTAATGAATCAAAAGCATATCAAAATGGTTCCTCACATCACTCGTCAATGTTTTATTTTGCACACACCTGAAGTTTAAAGAGGCATAATACGTGGAAGGAACACGTCACGGATCAGAAATTTGGATATACATTTTCCTTATAAAGCGTTTTCGGCCTATTATAACTTGTAGGTCAATGGTGAAGGTGAACAGGAAGTGAGATCACAATTCAAGCATGATGTTGATTATTGCTGGATGTTAACACAATATATACTGGATTGGACGTTCATTATCATAATTCTGTTACACATTTCTTTGGACTATAACTTTATGTTCTCAAAATGTATGGTTTTATTTATGAGGAGATGGCGCACCGCATTTGTTTCATTTATTTATTTTGAGTGTGAGTACACCAGAGTAGTGAGTGCAGCAATCTTTTTTCCTGATATCACTTTAATTGGAACATGGCAGCGCATAAGTCTTCACGTGTCAATGTTGTAATGTGAAGGTTTTTGCTTTCTTAGTGAGAAGGGAACTTGAAGGGTAAAGGAAAGGAAGAAAGCAGCAAAAACCCTAACAGAGAAAAAACTAATTTGGCTTTTCAAGGCACCATACCATCTGAAAGTATAGAAATGCACAACATGAAAACACTAGATAGAATAGAACATGTTTTATTATAATTTTTATTAAAAAAAAAAAACACGCAAGTGGTAAGAAAGATAATAGCCAAAATAGGCACATACATAGTAAAGCAAAAACACAATCTGGATCTATAAATGACACCAGTGGGGAAAGGCTCTGGCCTGGGACGCAAAAGCCTCACGAGCAAGAGTCCAAGAGCCCCACCAATAGCATTAAAGAAATAGATCGTAATTAGGAAAATGTATTTCCATAGGATTGAATTGTAAATTGGAAAATAAATCAAGAAATCCGACACATTTTGTGCGCTATGACCCACTTCTGCAGAGAATTTAGGAAAAACAAAACTGTTCCTACAGTGGAATCAAAAAATACAAAAAGAATTAACAATGAAAATACAAATGAAACATAATAAACTCAATGAAAATGTGAAGCAAAAATAAATACAGTAAAGACAGAAAATTACCAACCGACGATGATGCTCTGTACAATAGTAACACCTGATGTAGCTGAAGATCAATATTGGTAGAAAATAAAGGGAAGGAAGGTAATCTGAGAGAGCTGTAGAATTGGTGGTCTCCCTGAGCACTGGATGCATGAAAAGGTGAAGAGCAGAAATAAAGTAAGCTATTTACATAAAGTAAAAGGTGTCTTTGAAAAGCTTCTTGCTAACTGGTACCCTCACTTATGTGATAATGTACCTGCTGCCAGCTTGGTGTCTATGTATATTTTGTGTTTGTAAATCTGATTTAAATAGAAACTGCAGTGTACTGCAAAATATAATAGTAAATCACAAATCCAATAGGTTTTTTTTCTGCAATTCTGTGTGTACCAGAAATTCAATGAACTCAAAAGTTCAAGCTGACAACACTATGTCTATGCTGCATTGATATCAGCCCTACCCAGTTTGCCCCGTGCACTACAGAACACTTCCCCCTGTTATGGAGAGCGGCAGCTCTTCTATACTCAAAAGCAGGCAGCGTAGGGTAACAACACTGCTGCTTATTCATAGGTACAATACTGTAAGCATTGCCACCCTAGGACAGGAAATGTTACTGGGAAGATTACTAGGTGTAAATGAATGTGGGAGATAAAGCCTGAAAAAATTAAAGTTCTTAGGTTTAGACACCAAAGCAGTTTCAGTTTATTAGATGAACATAAAATGTTGTCTTATATCATCCAATGTGTGTTTTATTCATGCAGGTATTGGTGGAAATTTAGTAGCCATTCAGGCCAGCAGGATTTCTACCTATCTTCACTTACACAGCATTCCTGGGGAGCTGCCAGATGAGGCAAAGGGGTGTTATCATCCTTGTAGGACCTTTTGTGGAGCAGGTATGTTTAATGGTAGTCTAATGAAAAATCATGATGATGCATTTGTCCCAATATTATTCATTCACATTTGCTACATTGCTAATCCCTGTCTGCTGTACCCCAAAGCCCCCCCCCCCCCCCGAGTCATGAATATCCGATTGCTTTCAGCATCATAATCAATCCTGTGTCCCAAAACAGCATACCCTTTGCTGGTTAGATTCTTTTCCTAAATTCAAAAGAAGAACGATCCACTGTACTAATCAAACTAAATTAAAGGACCATTACAGGATATCTTTTGGCATTGATTTTGTGTCTTAAAAGGAACCCGTACTCAGTCACAGAAGACACATGCAGATAAATAAAGCCAGAATGCTGTCAGACCCTCTAATCTGCGTACTTGTTTTGGGACAATGACTGATAGTAATGACATACCTCCTAATTGTCCCAGAATGGGTGGGACCATCCCCATATTTATTTGAATTCCCGGCAACCCGCAGACCCAGGAAAATTCCCCTCCAGTCTAATGTCCGCCCCTGAGTGTGCCTTCCCTACAGCTCTGATCCCCTTGTGTTCGCATCAGAGGTTGCATCATCACATCAGAGTCCATCCTATCCATTATAAGCCTCTCCCCTTCACATCAGAGTACCGACATGACAGAGTCTTCCCATCGCAGAGTCCTCCCATCATGTCTGAGTCTCCCATCACAGAGCCCCTCCAGTCACACAGTCCTCTCTTCATATCAGAGCTTTACCTCTTATCTCCAGCAGCGCAGGAAAGTGTAAGAAGTGAAGTAGGTCTGGAGGAACTGGACATCTTTCTTCTCCTGAATGCTGGAGACAGACATGCCTTGGATCATGGTGTCATGCATTGCTATGGTGTGGGCAGGCCAGCTGCGAATACCACAGCAATGAATGATGCTATGCACCCTGACCCTAGAACATCATTGGTTGTTATGGTGGTAAGTGGCTGGCCAACGTACTATATGGCAATCCATGACACCGATCCAGGACATGCTAGGCCCATGCTTGCAGCACTCAGTTAAGACACTCTGTTCAAATGTAGAGTGCAAGTAGATTCTGGTTTCGGCGGGCACAATGTACCATGTCTTTTTAAGGGTTTTCTTATCATTATACAACTTTCCATAACCTCATAGAGGCTGACTGGTCCTGGGTAGTGCATCTTCTAATTACATATCTCTTAAAGATCTATGCCTTGCTATATGCCTGGAAGATGTACTTGACCAATTGTAACATAGCAAAGGTTGCCAATTACTAGTCAGAAAATACCATAACATTTCATTTTATCACTGAATAATGATTGATGAAATTGAGCACAAGGGATAAATTATTGAGCAGGATTTCATTACGTTAATGACTTCATGACCCCTAGACCCCTAACGCAATCTGTTCTCTTTCATAGGACCAAATAGGAAATCGGCTCAAGTTCTCCTCTCTCTTGTCATCCCTGGACACTTAATTTTTTTATATACCATTTATTTAATGAAGAGTGGTCACACATCTCTGACTCCCATCTTCATCGTGGTTTATTTATTGGCAGCTCTATTACAGGTAGGAACTCTTACTGGAATGTTTTGACTGCAAAGTGCTGTGTTCTTTATCATCTCCAGTTGTTCATGCTGCCAGACTCCTGTATTCAGTGGCATTGTCACAGCATATCTGCTTCTCATTAGCCAGTCTGAGGCACAACACAAACATGTTCATTTGCTTAATGAATTGCACCCAGCAACATCTGTTTTTGCCTACATTTGTCATTTTGCTACTATGTTACAAAAGAGTTTTTATGTAGTGGAAATATGATTAGGAATGAATAGTTTTTGTGCTGCCAAGTTGCAGCTATTATCTACTATAAACGACTTATTCCTCTGTTGTTTATCCTATGGTACATTTTAAAAACTAGAAAGAACACAATGCTTAGGCTGCTTTCACACTGATATGTTTATCTTCTGATTTTGCGTTTAAAAAAGGCGTGACTATGTAATTGTATGAAACACTTCACACTAATTTGTTGCGGGTGTGCTGCTTTTTTTTTTAAATCCCCTGTGCTATATTTTTGGTGTGCTAAAAAAAAAACCACATCAAAAATGCACCTCCCCATTGAAATGATTGGAAAATGTGGCAAAAATGCATGAAAAATGCACCCACGTTGTGTTTTTTTGGTGCAATTTTTGAGTCCCGTCCTGTAAAAAAAAAATGCACGGCAAACTGTAAAAATACATGCGTTTTTGCTACAGATCAGTTTGAAAGTAGTATACAGAAAGGAGCAGCGCTAAAAACTTATAAATGTCAATAAATCAATATAAATAATTCATGAAAAATGAATAAAAATAGTTCAAAGGTGACTCTTGTGCTCTGGTAAAATTGGACCCGGTATCTGTGCGAATAGTGATGTAAGTAATGCGGACTCACCGGACGCGCATATTATATGCGCCTTATATTAATAATCCAGATGACATCACAAGGGGGGAACAGGAACTAGAAGGTCTTCCCTCTAAGGGATGATGGATCGTTAGACAGGATCCTTAGGGCTTAACAGGCAATTCACATCCACTGGGGTTCCCCTATGAGGGGTTAACCTGGTATTGCTCTCTAGATAGGCAGATTTCCACTTATGGACATATGATCTGTCCAGAGGTGATATATCTGTAAATTCAAAGAGCTCCCCCAGGGGGTAGAAACAAGGATACGCCCATAGTGTAGTAGGTGATGTAGAAATTTTATTAAATTAATGAATATAGATGCATCATAGGAAATATAAAATCGGTGATCACATAGGGACTAACCGTCCTGTATCAAAAGATGGCCGCCGGAGCTCCACGTTGCTTTGGCGGCGTGACGTCACGGCGTGATGTGGCTCCTCCTGACGCGTACGTGCTCAAGCACGTCTTCAGAGGGGGGTCGCCAATCACACCGCTCCGTCTGCCGCTGGTTCATATAGAAGCTGGCGCGTGCGCATTGTGCAGCCACCATCTTTGTGAAGATCAGAGTGTAGTGCACATGCGCGGAAAGTGCAGGCGCCATTTTCCTTTAGTTCTGTGCTATGCAGCAGCAGAACTTTCGTCAGGGTATTCAAAATATATGGCATATGATAAAAATAGCGGGTGACCAATATATTAAGAATTAGATACGATGGTAAATCAAAAGACTTCCTTATAGTATATGCGAGTACATAAAAGGTAAGTATATGGTACAAAAACGATTTCATTATATGGGGAATACTGCTCAATGCGCATGCGTGAAAGGGTTAATGCCATGGTTCCGTGGGTATTAGTGAATTATGTCAGATGTGACATTGTAATTCCAAATCCATTAAATATATTATTAGATACTTAATAAACCTTCATTAGCAGAAATGAATAAATATGAAGGTTTAAGCATGAACAATTAAATAAGAAATAAATTTGTAATTTAACTGAGATATATATTCACAGTTTACACTACGGAAAGAATGGACAAAAGAAACTAATTCAATAGCATAAGAATTATATAGTAAACGAGTTGGATGACCATATGTAATTCAAATGCCTAATAACAATCAACAATAAAAGATCATAAATGACATAATTATTATCACAGATCGTAAAAAACAGATAATCATAACAAAAGCCAAATATAAAAGGGGTAATTAAAACTCAAATAAAATCATATATATTATATAATAAGTCAGACCATAGTAAAAACAGTCCGTAAAAATGTATTACATGAGTATAATAAACCCCTTATTTGTTAAAAAGATCTAAAATGTGATTTAGTAACATAGAATCAGATAGGATAAAATGATTTATACGAAAAAAAAAAATGGTTTCTTAAAAGAAATAATATAAAATACAATAAAAGGTGTACCCAATGTAATAAAAGATGCAAGAAACTTCATAAATCAGAATAGTAAGAATTTATAAAAATCAACTATTTTCAATAAAACAATTAATATCGACTTCAATGTTGTGGCCATTTGGATGTAAGGTACGGAGTTCATGGATCCATCTCATTTCCAGTTGGAATACTGCCCTTCTCTTATGTAATCCCTTCCAATGAGGTTTAACCAGATCTATGCCAATAAATTTTAATGATGTGGGGTCTTTATTGTGGACCCGCCTGTAATGGTTAGATAGGGAATGCTCCTTGTACCCGCGCTTGATATTATTTACGTGCTCATGTAATCTATCTCTGAGGCGTCTTGTTGTTCGGCCAATATATTGCAATTTGCATGGACATTCAAGAAGATAAACTACAAGTTTACTGTTTCATGTGATACATTTATCGATTATTGTAGGTTTTACCAGTTACTTGTGAGGTAAAAGAAATTATTTTATGTTTCCTGCTTTTCTCACATGTGCAAATCATGCACTTGTTGCATGGGTAGTACCCTTTGAGGTCTTTAAAAAGAGATATATTTTCAGGTGGATTAATTACGTTTGGTGCCAAGTAGTGTCGGAGACTTGTGGCCTTACGGTAAATGATTTCTGGTCTATCTGGCAGTATTTTTGATAAGACTGGGTCGGTTTTTAATATTTTCCAATTCTTATTAATTATATGGCTAATTGCCCTGTATTGGGTAGAGTATGTAGTAACAAAAAGGCAAATTTGACTCTTCTTCACCTTTACTTTGTCTTTTAATAAGTCTTCCCTGTTTAGTTGTGCTACTGTATCAATAGTATTATCAAGATTTCCTGCGTTATATCCTTTTTCAACAAACCTGTTTCTCAACATTTGGGACTGGGTATGGAATGTGTCCAAATCCGTACAGTTCCTTCTTATCCTTGAAAATTGTCCTTTTGGTATGTTCTCCAACCACATTGGGTGGTGGCAACTACTCTTGGGAATAAAACTGTTACGATCTGTCTTTTTAAAGAACGACTTAGTAATTAGTCTGCCACTATAATTTAACAGTGTGAGATCCAAGAAACTAATTTCATTAAATTATATGTATAAGTTAGATCAATATTTAAATTATTATCATTAAGGGTGTTAAAAAAGTTCACTAAGGCTTGTTCCTCACCATTCCACAGCAGGAAAATGTCATCTATATAGCTCCTGTAAAAAACCAGTTTGGGCCATTCCCTGGAGAAAATCAACATCTCTTCCCAGTGGGCCATAAATAGATTGGCGAGACTGGGAGCAAACCTAGCCCCTTGGTCTGTAAGTAGAACGTATGATCAAACCAAAAAATTATTCTTAATGGAAAATTTAGTAAAATCAAAATAAAATCAATATTGGAGGATGATAAAGTGCTGTGCGCCTTGATTAATCCACCTGAAAATATATCTCTTTTTTTTTAAAGACCTCAAAGTGTACTACCCATGCAACAAGTGCATGATTTGCACATGTGAGAAAAGCAGGAAACATAAAATAATTTCTTTTACCTCACAAGTAACTGGTAAAACCTACAATAATCGATAAATGTATCACATGAAACCGTAAACTTGTAGTTTATCTTCTTGAATGTCCGTGCAAATTGCAATATATTGGCCGTACAACAAGACGCCTCAGAGATAAATTAAGTGAGCACGTAAATAATATCAAGCGCGGGTACAAGGAGCATTCCCTATCCAACCATTACAGGCGGGTCCACAATAAAGACCCCACATCATTAAAATTTATTGGCATAAATCTGGTTAAACCTCATTTGAGGGGATTACATAAGAGAAGGGCAGTATCCCAACTGGAAATGAGATGGATCCATGACCTCCGTACCTTACATCCAAATGGTCACAACATTGAAGTCGATATTAATTGTGTTATTGAAAATAGTTGATTTTTATAAATTCTTTCTATTCCGATTTATGAAGTTTCTTGCATCTTTTATTACATTGGGTACACCTTTTATTGTATTTTATATTATTTCTTTTAAGAAACCATTTTTTCTTTCCTATAAATCATTTTATCCTATCTGATTCTATGTTACTAATATCACATTTTATATCTTTTTAACAAATAAGGGGTTTATTATACTCATTTAATACATTTTTACGGACTGTTTTTTACTATGGTCCGACTTATTATATAATATATATGATTTTATTTGAGTTTTAATTACCCCTTTTATATTTGGCTTTTGTTATGATTATTATCTGTTTTTTTATGATCCGTGATATTATGTCATTTATGATCTTTTATTGTTGATTGTTATTAGGCATTTGAATTTCATATGGTCATCCAACTCGTTTACTATATAATTCTTATGCTATTCAATTAGTTTCTTTTGTCCATTCTTTCCGTAGTGTAAACACTGAATATATATCTCACTTAAATTACATATTTATTTCTTATTTAATTGTTCATGCTTAAACCTTCCCATTTATTCATTTGTGCTAATGAAGGTTTATTAAGTATCTAATAATATTTTTAATGGATTTGGAATTGCAATGTCACATCTGACATAATTCACTAATACCCACGGAAGCATGGCATTAACCCTTTCACGCATGCGCATTGAGCAGTATTCCCTATTTAATGAAATCGTTTTTGTACCATATACTTACCTTTTATGTACTCGCATATACTATAAGGAAGTCTTTTGATTTACCATCGTATCTAATTCTTAATATATT